GTTTGCTCTTCAGCTTTGTTTTGTTTTGCACTTGTGCTTTTGTGAAGAGGCTAATGACATAGGCAGATGTAGAACATGTTCATTTACAATCCAAGGCGCCAAACAACATGGCCATGTCATAAGTAGAAGCGACTACGTTCCAGAATCGCGGAAGAGCATCACGCTGGTCACCTCCACATGGTCCAGCGGCCACGCTGGGCCGTTAGGCATATGCGTGCCGGACAACTTCTTGCGGCAAGAACAAATAGACTCATTCAATGAGGAATGGAAGGGCGAAGCCCTGATCTTTAAATCCCAGTCCTCCAGGCATTTCATGTGTGCAGAAACCTTTATAGTTCTGCTTCACCAGCTTCTCACTCCTGCCGTCGCATTGCAGCGACATAAGCTTGGTGTCGACCACACAGCCAGAGCACTGCTGCTTGCAGATGCGTGGAGTGGATTCCACGCACAAAAGGACGGCATGGAGACAGCGCGGATGGCGTGGTCAGAGCAGTGCAACTGCGGCCTGCCAGCTTTGCAGGTGGGTTTCACAGAGCTAAAGTTTGATGCACAAGTCGTGTTCAACATGCACTAAACACAGAAGCCCGATGAGATAGGAGTTGTGAGTTTGGCAGAAATTAGTGTGGAGTTGTTTAGCACCCTGAGGCCGGAGGATTCAGTGCGAATGGGCAACCCATAGATCAGGTCCATCACTTGCTCAGGACACGTTTGGAGTATACTGATGCAGAAGATGTATCTATGGAAGCCGACCTTAGATGTCGCAAGAGCTCATTGACGGAAATTGATTTTTCCCCAGTTAGGAATAACTATGGGGTTCTTACCCCAAAAAAGCATGAATTTGAGTTAGCTGCTATTTGAGGTCTATGCTGGTGATATTGTTGCTTTCAGTCAACCTTTTGTTCCAACAGTTGATGCAATGACATTCCATACCAAAGGTTTGCAACCTGGGGAGTGTGATGACATAGGCTGCATATGCTTGGATCACTCATGTGAGGCTACTCCGAACTCGTCATCGGGCCCAATGGCCAACCACAACGCCCATCTCCATACAACCGTGCCACTCTTGCGCTCCGGTCACTGCGCGCTTGGAAGTCTGTGCCGAGGAGGGCGTTTGTTGCAGCATGGACAGTGACCGGCTACTTTGGCCCAAGTCACTTCGGTGACTTGGGCATGTCGCAGGATGATGCGCGTGAAACTTTAGACAGCACTGGCCTTCTAAAGTGCGTGGGCATTAGAGATGATCGTGCTGCCGATGTGCCGCAGACCAACAGGTCATGGTCGTGCAAAGTAGTTACAGGGTGGTTTGGGGATATTGGATGTTTGACAAGTGTAACATGAGATAGGATTCTTCTATGAGATGTTGAAAAGTTATGTGTTCATATGTATTAATATTCTCACTGTAGAGTGAAGTCACAATGACATGGGAAGCATCATGTTGGAAGCATTGTTTTGCGAGGTGGTTTTGGTCGCTTCGAATGGACGATGACAAGATTGCCGCTTTGCCAAGTACAATCGCATTTGCGGTTGAGAAAGCCGTTTGCGGACATCGGAGGGAGAGGAAGATCCTTTGGACCAGAAAACCGAAAGAGTCGAAGGAGAAACTCATGGCATTGAACAACCGGGTGACGAGCCTGGTCTACAACCTGCGCCAAGGCTGCTTGGCGACATCTTCCTATGTCAAAAGAAACACCACACTGGTCAACGGGCGCACTGAGTTTATCAACAAGGGGACGAATCATGAACTTCTGAGAGTGACCTTCCAGATTGATGACTCCCACGACCCGACCAGTGCAGGGACATATTTTTTGTCATCGGCAAAGTTCCCGAAGAGGGCCATTTGCTGCGTATCGACAACTACTCAGCCGGGCGGCTTTGATATTCTTCGAGAGAACTACACAGGACAAGAAATGGGATAAGTAGCGGGCGGTATCAATGACATAGGGAGTTGGAAACACATTTTCAGCATGGCACGAAGGGAGAAACACCCATGCACTCAGGCAATGATGACTTAGGCTCAAACACCCGGTCTAAGTTGCCAGCGTCTGACACGGTTGGTGGTTTAGAGTGGATGACCTATGTATGTGTTAGGGTGATGACCTAGGAACTAAATGAGCCACGTCTTTTTTGCAAATGATTAGGTTTATACAAAAAGGGAACTGTTGAGAAGTTGCGGAGGCTGTTCTGCTTGGCTACAGAGGAGGTTTGAAGTTTGTTTACCGAAGCTCTGGAGGCACATTGGTTTTTGAGGTCATAAGCTTGATCGTGCTTGGTCTGGCACACCGGCTCTTGAGCCACAAGTGTGCACCCCCTGTTGGTACCAGAATCAATGGACCTATTTTCGCGTAGGCCCCGCGTAGGCGCTCGCGGAAGCAGCGCGTAGGTACAGACCCAGTGTATAAGCCCCACACCACAAAAAAAACACAACTCAAATGAATTGTGTGGTCAGTGTTGTTTTCTTTAAGAGTAAGGGAGAAACATCGATGCACTTACAATGATGACTTAGGACCAAACACCTGTTCTAAGTTGCCAACATCTGGCCCGGTTGGTGGTTTAGAGTGGATTACCTATATATGTGTTAGGGTGATGACCTAGGAACTAAATGAATTGTGTGGTCAGTGTGGTTTTCTTTAGGAGTAAGGGAGACACATCGATGCACTTACAATGATGACTTAGGATCAAACACCTGTTCTAAGTTGCCAACATCTGGCACGGTTGGTGGTTTACGGTAGATGACCTAGGAACAACAAGCTGTATGGACGATGTATATAGTCGGTACGTTGAAACTGACTGCTTTGCCAGGCGAAGACGATGATGATGATGATGATGATGAAGCGGGTGATGCAGCAGAGGAGTGCAACGATGATGAGGACAACGGCGATGGCATGCAAATGCCAAGTGCATTGGAGCAGCGTGTCTTTGAAGAAGCAGGTGCAGAGGCAGAGGACGATAAGGGCGATGACGATGATGCTTCTGTCACCTCGAGCTTGGAAGAGTTCGTTGGCGATGCAGGTTCTCTCAACTTCGAGCAGGACATCCATGGTGCAGAAATCTCTCCTGAAGAAGCAAGCTTGGCAAATCAAGGTGAGGGCAAAGGTCCCGCACCTTCCAAGCACAAGGTTTACCATTTTTCTCCAGAGTGGATTCATTTATCCAACCTGGGTCCACAGCTGACTGTTCTACCTGATGTCAAGGGTGCTGGCATTAGCCGGCACCCTGCCGGATCTTTCTGGAGTGCGCATTTTCCAGGGTGCGCCATATCCACTGCAAGGTGGTCAGACAACAGAAGTCCTTTTCGTTGTCTGATTCATTGCCTCAGGCATGTGATACACCTGCACGTGCAAACCAATTGTCCACCCAACGCTGACAGTTGGAGGGCACAGTTGGATGAGCTAAAAGCACTTTTGTGAGCAATGATCGAAAATCACCGGACTAGCCTAAGTCATGAGGGTTGGATACTGTATACATTTTTTTTATATATTGACCCATGAGATAGGCTTTGTGGGGACAAAGTAGTTGTGGGCCCACTTGTCTTAACTTAAGTCATGTGACACCTCCACAAGTTTATCCTGCCAAACTAGTGGGTGGACGCGTATGACATAGGAACGTGGGGCTGCGCAACAGTTGTTGAGTCTACCAGCACACCATCAACAGTTCCCACCATAAGTTTTCATTGACAGATTCCAACATCTTCACTGATAGCATTTTCGACCAAAGCTCGATTCTAATACGTTACAATCATGAGGGCAAAGCCCTATGATCCGCTCATGATGATTGAGCTTCATTAGGACCACATGAGGACCAGTGGCAAAAGGCCACATGACTCGGGATCAGCGTTTGCAAAAAAACACATAGTCGCATCCTATGTCACCACTGTGTCACCACAGTGCCAGGCAGTGGTATCCAGCTGTTTTTTTTGGTAGATGAGGTGTCCACAGGTCCTATGACATCAGGTTTCCTAATCCAGACATTTTTTTTTGCTCGATATGTCAGGGCAAATGACTTAGCCCTGGGGGTAGCCAGATTGGTATGTCACTTGCATCACTTCGGCCTAAGTCATTAGACAGTAGTATATATATACACATGTATTTGCTGAGGAGTCCAAGACATTAAATACATTCCATTATATTCTATTTTGGCAAAGGTCTCTATAGATCACCCGAAAAGGCATGTCCTTTCCTTCAGTGCCAAAGATAGTCGGACTTCTATAGGACCTCTAGAACCTTTGGACCACCAACTACCCAAAATATGCGAAATATGCTGAAATATTGTCTTTTCCTATCACACACTTATGGATATGCGTACTGACTTGACAGCGGTGCCACACGCCAGCCTAAGTAAAACCGCCTAAGGTTCCAGGTAGTAAGTTTGAGGCCTCCAAAACCTATGAACACGAGGGCGAACGGCGGCGACAGGGTGACGACGAGTCGTGCAAATCCGTGGAGCTCCAAAGGTCCAAACACTCCAAGGTGAGTCGCCGCTGCATTAGCTGCTTACTGCACAACAAAGGATGAGGCAGCTTTTGCCATACTTAGGTTCTCAACAGCAGGTACACCAGGTTGATCAGACCTGGCTTCCACCATCACGCATAGCTTCGTTGGCATGCGTTTGCGTGATGGCCGCATGCCCCCTGCTGAAGTAAACGAAAAAACAATTCAAAATAATCCCTGTGACTACAAGGGGCACACACACAACTTGCGCTCCAATCCGCACGCACCTCTAGGTCCTTCCCTTTCAGGGGGTACCAGAGGTCAAACTAGACACCAAACCTGTAACAACACGTGCAACGAAGACCGCAGAAGACCCCCGGACTATCCCCAGAGTAACCTCAACGCGAATTATCGGTCCATGGCAACCGGAGATCGTATATGCCGATGCCTAATTCACGAATCAAGACTAATGGTACTCGTTTGGGTCCCCCAAAGCAGCCTCTTGGAGGGTCCTGGTATGGCACCTTCGAAGCATGTCGATTGGCTCCCTTGCTTTCGGTGTCCATCGCTGAGGTTACGTGAATGTCACACAGGAGGCCTTCTATGGGCAAAGACGGTTTGTGTGCGTTCGTGTCTTTTTGAAGAGAAGAGTGCTTGGTTTGGGTGAACTGATCCATTTGGTATGGACTTGATAACATCGGACCAGGCAACTGAAATGACCAAATGACAAGGCAATCATAAAGGTACTAGAAGCTTCCCTGTTTCAGAGAGAAAGCTGTTCTGCTGCAGCAGTCTCAGTCCAATCCGTGGCTTGACCCGAGTCGAAGATTGTCCCGCGCTTTTCAGGCTACAAGAACTGTTTGGACCACAGGGCGAAGCTAGACTCAGAACACTACCAAATTAAAATTATTGCAAAAATTGAAGATCCAAGTTTCGCTGAAACATCAAATAGAATCAAATAGACATGAATGGGTAGTATCCATGACACATCATGACTGTGGCTACCTGAATGTGTCTGCTTTTTGAGCCATCCTGCAGGTTTTTTCGTTCCACACATTGTGGTGTGAGGACTTCCTCTTCTACTGGTTCATCCAAGCGAAGAGTGATGCTCCTGCGGACGCGCCAGTGATTCTTTGGAGCAACGGCGGCCCGGGATGCACCTCCATGGATGCCCGTCTTTCTAACTTGAGCTGTCTAACTTGAGCTACTGGTATCTTGAGCTGTCTATATAACTGAATTAGCTTGTGACCTGTGACTGGAAAGGTGCCCACGTGAGGTTCTCAAGTGGGTTTTACCCCAAGCGGACTTCTTCATACTTCTTCTCTTCATCTAAAATATAGTTATATGCAATTATATATATATATATTTACCCAAAGTGCTCCCAGGTGCTTCTATGTATCCATGTGTGTATATATATATACTACCTGCAGTGATGTCCAAACCCGTCTGCCACGGTAGGACATCGGCACCGTGTTTTCGACCGAACGGTCCGATCTCCGCACCGGATCCGCACAAAGCGCCGGCTGAGGAGGGTGCCGTGACGGAGATAGGTCCTTTACTCCTCAAGGGAGTGAAGACTGGGCAGGGATACACAGGAGTCCATGGGGGGGATGGCTGGAGATGGGGATCAAAAAGAGATGGGTGGAGGGAGTTTGATTTGTTTTTCATATTTTTCGTGTTTTTTCACGAACATGTAGTCGATGTTGAAGCGTTTAATTTGCTGTTCTCTTAAACCGGCTTCTGCAGGGGTTGGATTGGAAGGAGATTGGAGTCTTGTGACGAGTTTTGGAGCAGAGGGGCTTGGATGAACTGCATGAGCTGGTTTTCGTGCAGTGTGCAGCACCTGAGCGTGGAGACAATAGAGACAACATGTAATGATCCAAATGTTGCCTGTGGAATCGATGATGTTGTTCCCCACATTGACGTGTGTTTTTTTGTTTTTAGTGTGGTATCCGCTCCTCCGCCTCCCTCCTCCTCGCTCCAACTGCCACCCACAAACTGCCACCAACCAATTGCCACCAACCAATTGTCACCAACCAGCTGCTACCAACCAATTGTCACCAACCAATTGCTACCAAGCAACTGCCACCAATCAATTGCTACCACGCAACTGCCACCAAACAACTGCCACCAACCAATTGCGCCGCTGTGATTTCCGTGGCAGGCACAGCACTTGGTGCTCTCCAGAGGGTAGGATGTACGCCCTGGCGTCCGTGGGTCGCCGCCGCTCTGCCGGTGTGATTTGTATTTGGTGTGAAGTTGTTAACATGTGGGGTTATCCGGTCCTATAATCTTTGATGATGTAGTTCTATGAAAAATGGAGTGTTGGCCCGGCCTGTCTTTTAAGGGGAAATCAATATCTGTAAACGATGCGTCTAGCAAGAAGAGTCTCCTTTGGCAGATTCCGTGTGTCAGGCAACGAGGTCTGGAGACTTCACACAGGCGTCTTGAGGCTTAACTTTTGATGCAAGGTTTGAGACTGGAGGTATTGGAGGACCACATCCCCTTAATAAAGATGATGACCTGATGATGGATGATGAGATGAGGACCTGGACCTGATGATGGATGATGATTGATGGGATTCTGTGTCATGCGAGATTGAACCATGAACCATGAGAGCTCTGAGAATATTGGCACAAGGCTGATAAGAGATTTGATAGGATTGCTATGGAGAACAGGAATGAAGCCAAAGGGTGGTATTGATTAGCAGGGGGAGGGGTCCTGCTATTGGGGGAGGTAGGGCCTGTGTGAGGGGACCCTTTGTGAGCTTGAAAACCTCAGGGTTTTGATAGCGTTTAAAAATGAAAAAAATTGCTAGATTTTCTGGGGGTTGGTTGAAGCCATCAAAAGGATTGGTGAGCAGGATGAAGCAGTTGAGAGGTGGTGGTGAGAATCAGGAAGATGAGGATATATTGATTAAATGTAATATAGTATAATAGTAAATATGACGAGGAAATAATAAGGGATCATAAATATAATAGTAGACTATAATATTGATAATTTTTTGTGGGGCAGCTGGGATTGATTAATAGTGGGAGGTTTCCGGCCAGGAAAAAAGTTATCAGGGAGATGTTAAGGTGGAAATTCAAGTTTTAAATTAGTCCGTTCTGGAGAGTGGCCTGTTTAGTATTGGGGGGCTCGAGTTGGGATTGATTAAATAATAGGGGATGGTTACTTAATCGTATGTTCTTTAAGACCAGCCCATAGCTACCTAGCAGGGTCCTATAGTGAAGTTCTCTGTGTGTCTTTTTGCTGTGCAGCTGCTGAGATCGGGTGCGAATCATGTCCGATCTCCGATCCGGTGAGGACGACTGTCTTCGAATCCTTTCGCCTGGAACCAGCGGGCACATGTCCTTTTGGTAGACCAACCTCGTTATGCCGCTGGGGCTCGAGGATTTGGGCTCTCGGGCGGCTGGTTCCAGCCGGGGGGTCGAGTGTTTGGCGGGAAAATTGGGAAAACAACTGGAGAAAAGAACTCACAAGCAAGTATATTCAAGACAAATCTACCTGGACCATCCTGTTTGGGTGTCCAATAGACATCTCTAAGTAGTGCAGGGTACGTCTACTCCATTGGACGCCCATTGGACGGTCCGCCCTGACCAATAACACCCAAAAGAGTGTTCCGATCGCAGTTCGACAACCCCACATGTTTCGAAAACTGGAACCACCACGTGGACCAACCAAGAAACCGGGAGCCCCGAAGAAGAAAGAGGAAGCTGGCTCAATGCCCTCTCTCAGGATGGTATATAGTATTGGAGCTGGTCGAAAAGACACGAGTAGTTCCTTGTTGGTGGTTTATATAACATTTGGACACCGAACAGAGTGGTCCACTAATTATACCGTTTATTCTACAATAAGGCAATTGGTATGCAAAGCAGGAATCGAATCAGGTGGGCTATTCTACGGGCGCTGGGCCTTTCGTGCTGAGCTCCAAAGATGCCGCGAAGGACATCGTGCAGTTTCTCCGAGGCCCGCGCCGCGGAGCGCGATTTGCCTGCGGAGTGTTCGAAGCGGACCATAGCGCGGCCGTGATCGAGGCGGTCGACTTCCGTAGGGCGGGGGGTCGGTAGCAAAAATGTGTGGACCATGGGTGGGAACCATCCATGATACGCCATGGGGCTCGTGGGTGAGGGATGTGGATGATTGTGGATGGGGATATTGGGACGGAAGTGCCACGTTGGCTTCATGTGATGCCCAGGGCCTACTTTCTCGCTTGGGCTTGGTGGAGAAAAGAGATCGGCTCCGGCCTTTCTCACATGGATCGGCTCTATAGGAGGGTGCCGTCGGGGTCACCCCATGATCCACTCACTGGATGGGACGAGCCAAACCTCCGCTTGGTGACTCCTGGTTTAGTCCTGGTTTAGGGATTTGTGCACCATCCCAAGCGTATGAGGCTTCTTCCAATTGATGCAGATGATGCGGGTGGGGTCCTTTGACAGAATTGCTGGATGATCTTCGTTCCTCTTTTTGGAGCGTGACATCAAGGTTTTGATGCACGACGTGTCGCAGAACCATATAATGGTTGCTTCACACTTTCACCACCGTCGGTGATCAATTTGAATGTCATTGGTGAAAACTCATCTTCCAAAGATTAGCTAGCATCTAACAGCTACAAAGCGCAAGTCACCGCACTTGCCCAGAGATGCCTCCCCCTTCCACCATACCTTTCCCTCCGCTACAACCGCGGAGGTTGGCGTCGGCTGTTTCCAGAGCTGGCCGCATCCCGGTTTGTGCTGGCGAGCGAGTCCTATGGCGGGCACTTCATCCCAGCCTTCGCCGAAGCCATCTTCAACTTCAACGATCGGTGGCCCGGAGCAAGAACCCTCATGCACTGGGCAAGTGGAGAAACAACCCAGAACCTAGGGTTTGGTTCAGACCCCAGACCCCTCCCTAAGGATTTGGGTCCGACCCCTCCATAGGATTCGAGTCCAGGGTCGCGTCTGGGAAAGGCCTCATCCACTGGGAATGATTGATCAGGAGCCCTAGTAGCGTTCTTGTTCCTGGTAGCGATGCCAGGAGCCCCTAGT